ATCACTATCACAATAGTATGTTGCAATAGACTATCACTATCACAATAGTATGTTGTAATAGACTATCACTATCACAATAGTATTTTGCAATAGACTATCACTATCACAATAGTTTGTCGCAGTAGACTATCACTATCGCAATAGTATTTTGCAATAGACTATCACTATCACAATAGTATGTTGCAATAGACTATCACTATCGCAATAGTTTGTTGCAATAGACTATCACAATAATAGTGTGTGCAATAGACTATCACTATCACAATAGTATGTCGCAATAATAGACTATCACTATCACAATAGTTTGTTGCAATAGACTATCACTATCACAATAGTATGTTGCAATAGACTATCACTATCACAATAGTATGTTGCAATAGACTATCACTATCACAATAGTATGTCGCAATAGACTATCACTATCACAATAGTATGTTGCAATAGACTATCACTATCGCAATAGTATGTCGCAATAGACTATCACTATCACAATAGTTTGTTGCAGAATAGACTATCGCAATAGTATGTCGCAATAGACTATCACTATCACAATAGTATGTTGCAATAGACTATCACTATCGCAATAGTTTCTTGCAATAGACTATCACAATAGTTTGTCGCAATAGTTTGTCGCAATAGACTATCACTATCACAATAGTATGTCGCAATAGACTATCACTATCACAATAGTATGTCGCAATAGACTATCACTATCACAATAGTATGTGTCGCAATAGACTATCACTATCGCAATAGTTTGTTGCAATAGACTATCACTATCACAATAGTTTGTTGCAATAGACTATCACTATCACAATAGTATGTTGCAATAGACTATCACTATCGCAATAGTTTGTTGCAATAGACTATCGCAATAGTATGTCGCAATAGACTATCACTATCACAATAGTATGTTGCAATAGACTATCACTATCACAATAGTATGTTGCAATAGACTATCACTATCACAATAGTTTGTTGCAATAGACTATCACTATCACAATAGTTTGTTGCAATAGACTATCACTATCACAATAGTTTGTTGCAATAGACTATCACTATCACAATAGTTTGTTGCAATAGACTATCACTATCGCAATAGTTTGTTGCAATAGACTATCACAATAGTATGTCGCAATAGACTATCACTATCACAATAGTATGTTGCAATAGACTATCACTATCACAATAGTTTGTTGCAATAGACTATCAATATCACAATAGTTTGTCGCAATAGACTATCACTATCACAATAGTTTGTTGCAATAGACTATCACTATCACAATAGTTTGTTGCAATAGACTATCACTGCATAATAGACTAATAGACTATCACAATAGTATGTTGCAATAGACTATCACTATCACAATAGTATGTTGCAATAGACTATCACTATCACAATAGTATGTTGCAATAGACTATCATATCACAATAGTATGTATCACTATCACAATAGTTTGTTGCAATAGACTATCACTATCACAATAGTTTGTTGCAATAGACTATCACTATCACAATAGTTTGTTGCAATAGACTATCACTATCACAATAGTATGTTGCAATAGACTATCACTATCACAATAGTATGTTGCAATAGACTATCACTATCACAATAGTTTGTTGCAATAGACTATCACAATAGTTGCTGTCGCAATAGTATGTCGCAATAGACTATCACTATCACAATAGTATGTTGCAATAGACTATCACTATCGCAATAGTTTGTTGCAATAGACTATCACAATAGTTTGTCGCAATAGTTTGTCGCAATAGACTATCACTATCACAATAGTATGTCGCAATAGACTATCACTATCACAATAGTATGTCGCAATAGACTATCAGTATCGCAATAGTATGTGTCGCAATAGACTATCACTATCGCAATACTGTGATATAAATATACCTTGTCAGGTAATTATACACTGTGTGAGGTATATAAATAACACTGTGTGAGGTACATAAACACTGTGTGAGGTTAATAAATACTGTGTGAGGTAAAGAAACACTGTGAGAGGTAAATAAACACTGTGTGAGGTAAATATACACCATGTGAGGTAAATATACACTGTCAGGTAAATAAACACTGTGTGAGGTAAACAAACACTGTGTGAGGCAAAGAAACACTGTGTGAGGTAAATAAACACTGAGGTAACTATACACTGTGTCAGGTAAATAAACACTGTCATGTAAATAAATGCTTTGTCAGGTAAATAAACACTGTGTGGTGTACATAACACTGTGTGAGGTAAATAGACAAAGTGTAAGATAAATAAACACTCTGTGAGATACATAACACTGTGTGAGGCACATAAATACTGTGTGATGTAAATAAACACTGTGAAATAAATAGACACTGAGGTAAATAGACACTGTGTCAGATACATAAAACTGTGTGGTACATATACACACTGTGTGCAGTAAATAAACACTGTGTGAAGTAAATAGACACTGCAGAGGTAAAAAGTGTGGTACATATAGACACTGTGTCAGGTTTATAAATACTTTGTAAGAAAAAACACTGTGTCAGATATATAAACACTGTTAAAGATTTATGTAAACACTGTTTCAGGTATACAGACACTATGTCAGATATATACTCACGTCAGATTTATAACATTGTGTCAAACGAACAAACACCGTCAGTTACATGAACACTGTGTATGTGTGTGTAAATAGTGTCAGATACATGTAAACATGTAAACAGTGTGAGATATATGTAAACTGTGTCAGATACATGTAAACAGTGTCAAGATACATGTAAACAGTGTCAGATACATGTAAACAGTGTCAGAGACATGTAAACAGTGTCAGATACATGTAAACAGTGTCAGATACATGTAAACAGTGTCAAGATACATGTAAACAGTGTCAGATACATGTAAACAGTGTCAGAGACATGTAAACAGTGTCAGATACATGTAAACAGTGTCAGAGACATGTAAACAGTGTCAGATACATGTAAACAGTGTCAGATACATGTAATCAGTGTCAGATACATGTAAACAGTGTCAGATACATGTAAACAGTGTCAGCGTCAGACACATGTAAACAGTGTCAGAGACATGTAAACAGTGTCAGAGACATGTAAACAGTGTCAGAGACATATAAACAGTGTCAGATACATGTAATCAGTGTCAGATACATGTAAACAGTGTCAGATACATGTAAACAGTGTCAGCGTCAGACACATGTAAACAGTGTCAGAGACATGTAAACAGTGTCAGATACATGTAAACAGAGTCAGATACATGTAAACAGAGTCAGATACATGTAAACAGTGTCAAGATACATGTAAACAGTGTCAGAGACATGGAAACAGTGTCAGATACATGGAAACAGCACCACATACTGAAGTCAGTGTGCTTGGCTACAATATATAATATACTCAGCAGCAAAAAAACGTCAGTACGATTCAAAATTACATAGGCACTGTAATCAAATCATTACAGAAATGGACATAATAAGCGGATCAAAACCATTTTTGGTGTACAGTATCTTGACACATCAATGAATTACGAGAACGTTTGCAGTCCATTCAGACCCTTGACTCTAGTGTGACCACCATGAGTGGCAATAACTGCAGCACAGCTTCTATGCATGTAGTGCACCAGTTGATTGAATGCATGGAGTGCACCAGTTGATTGATGAAGGCCATTGGCACCTGGAACCACACTCTGAGAAAGGCCTGGCGCAATAAATCAGCTGTGTTCGGCCTTGGTATGACATTATTCAGTCTCCTCTGAATTTCATCCCAAAGATGTTAATTGGGTTTAAATCAGGACTGAGGGCTGGCCACTGCAAAATGTTGACACCGTTTTGCTGTAGGAAGTCCTGTGTAGCTCTGGGGCCCGGGCGTTATCATGCTGGGAAATGTTGTTCCGGTGACGTGCGAAATGTGGTATGACGTGGGGTCTGAGAGCTTGGTCGATGTAGCACACCGCTGTGATGCTGCCTCCTCTCCCTGGACCAAGGTTTTGGAACACCACAGGACCCACTCTCTGGTTCCGCCCCATACCATGATGCTTGCACCTCCCAATGAGTCTCTTTCCATAACACATTGGTCTGAGTAATGCTGGCAACATTGTCAACATATTCTTGTTCTGCCATCTGCAGTTGATACGCAGTACCGACTCTCATCTCGGAACAGAACAGTTCTCCATTGCCTGTATTGCCAGTTTTGGTGTTGTGGGGCAAACTGCAGACGTTCACTCCGATGACGAGGGGTGAGGATAGGTCTACGGTAAGGTCTGCGGCAATGGAGGTTCCCGCTGTTAAGACGTCGGCGTACTATATCAGTACTGATTGGTTTTCCGTGAGTTCCCACTGTCTGGCGTGCTGTTTCGGATGCCTGCACGAAGGGATTCTGTACATGCTGTCACACAACATGGCGGTCTTGCCGGCTTGTGGTCACCCTTGGTCTGCCAGTACGCGGACGATCATTTGTGGTGTTGGTGGCCCGGAAATGTTGCTGCAGCCTGTAGATGGTCCGAAAATTTGACCTGGAAGTGATTGGCAACGGCTTGTGCAGTGTGGCCAGCTTCAAGTCTTCCTAGTGCCTGGTTCCTCTGAGCTGTCGTGAGTCGCGGCATCCTGCTGACGTTGTAATGTGAATGTTTCAACCAGGTTTTGGGGTGCATTTTATAGGGCTGGTCCTTGTGAACAGCACGTGCAGCATGAGTGCATGAAAAACACGGAGAACATCGTACCATCTCCGAGATCAGGTTGCGTTTTTGAGACCATTTCCTGGGTTCAATTCTGAGTTTGGGAAGGAATGTCTTTGCTCAGGTAAAGTTGGAGATGTTGTCAAAAATATACAATCAAAACATTAAATGAGTTTACAGTTATCCGTTGCTGCGAAGGAAAATTCCAAACTGATGTTTCTTTTGCTGCTTAGTATACATCTCTATATATATACTGTATCACCTAGTATACATCTCTATATATACTGTATCACCTAGTATACATCTCTATATCTCTATATATACTGTATCACCCACTTTGGCACTCTTGAGCAGCTCCCACTTTGGTGTGACGTAGTACAGGATGCCGTCTACAGAGCCCTCCAGAGTCAGCCCTCGGATCAGAAGGATCAGCAGCACAACGTACGGGAAGAATGCAGTAAAGTAAACTGCCTGTAACATAACAGAAGAATGTAGTAAAGTAAACTGCCTGTAACATAACAGAAGAATGTAATAAAGAAAACTGCCTGTAACATAACAGAAGAATGTAGTAAAGTAAACTGCCTGTAACATAACAGAAGAATGTAGTAAAGTAAACTGCCTGTAACATAACAGAAGAATGTAGTAAAGTAAACTGCCTGTAACATAACAGAAGAATGTAGTAAAGTAAACTGCCTGTAACATAACAGAAGAATGTAGTAAAGTAAACTGCCTGTAACATAACAGAAGAATGCAGTAAAGTAAACTGCCTGTAACATAACAGAAGAATGCAGTAAAGTAAACTGCCTGTAACATAACAGAAGAATGCAGTAAAGTAAACTGCCTGTAACATAACAGAAGAATGTAGTAAAGTAAACTGCCTGTAACATAACAGAAGAATGTAGTAAAGTAAACTGCCTGTAACATAACAGAAGAATGTAGTAAAGAAAACTGCCTGTAACATAACAGAAGAATGTAGTAAAGAAAACTGCCTGTAACATAACAGAAGAATGTAGTAAAGTAAACTGCCTGTAACATAACAGAAGAATGTAGTAAAGTAAACTGCCTGTAACATAACAGAAGAATGTAGTAAAGTAAACTGCCTGTAACATAACAGAAGAATGTAGTAAAGTAAACTGCCTGTAACATAACAGAAGAATGTAGTAAAGTAAACTGCCTGTAACATAACAGAAGAATGTAGTAAAGTAAACTGCCTGTAACATAACAGAAGAATGCAGTAAAGTAAACTGCCTGTAACATAACAGAAGAATGAAGTAAAGAAAACTGTCTGTCACATAACATTGCCAGGAAAACGGAGGAATGCAGTTAAGAAAACTTTCTGTCACATAACATTGCCAGGAAAACGGAGGAATGCAGTGAAGACAACTTTCTGTCACATAACATTGCCAGGAAAACGGAGGAATGCAGTAAAGAAAACTTTCTGTCACATAACATTGCCAGGAAACGGAGGAATGCAGTTAAGAAAACTTTCTGTCACATAACATTGCCAGGAAAACGGAGGAATGCAGTGAAGACAACTTTCTGTCACATAACATTGCCAGGAAACGGAGGAATGCAGTAAAGTGGGCTTTCTGTCACATAACATTGCCAGGAAACGGAGGAATGCAGTAAAGTGGGCTGCCTGTCACATAACATTTCCAGGAAAACGGAGGAGTGCAGTGAAGTGGGCTGTCTGTCACATAACATTGCCAGGAAACGGAGGAGTGCAGTGAAGTGGGCTGTCTGTCACATAACATTGCCAGGAAACGGAGGAGTGCAGTGAAGTGGGCTGTCCGTCACATAACATTGCCAGGAAACGGAGGAGTGCAGTGAAGTGCCAGGTGAAGCAGTGAAGTGGGCTGTCTGTCACATAACATTGCCAGGAAATGGAGGAGTGCAGTGAAGTGGGCTGTCTATCACATAACATTGCCAGGAAACGGAGGAATGCAGTGAAGTGGGCTGTCTGTCACACAGCATTGCCAGGAAACGGAGGAGTGCACTAAAGTGGGCTGCCTATCACATAACATTGCCAGGAAACCGAGGAGTGCAGTGAAGTGGGCTGTCTGTCACATAACATTGCCAGGAAACGGAGGAATGCAGTGAAGTGGGCTGTCTGTCACATAACATTGCCAGGAAAACGGAGGAGTGCAGTGAAGTGGGCTGTCTGTCACATAACATTGCCAGGAAACGGAGGAATGCACTAAAGTGGGCTGCTTATCACATAGCATTGCCAGGAAACAGAGGAGTGCACTAAAGTGGGCTGCCTATCACATAAAATTGCCAGGAAACGGAGGAGTGCACTAAAGTGGGCTGCCTGTCACATAACATTGCCAGGAAACGGAGGAGTGCACTAAAGTGGGATGCCTATCACATAACATTGCCAGGAAACGGAGGAGTGCACTAAAGCGGCTGCCTGTAAGATAGCATTGCCAGGAAACGGAGGAGTGCACTAAAGTGGGCTGCCTATCACACAGCATTGCCAGGAAACGGAGGAGTGCACTAAAGTGGGCTGCCTATCACATAACATTGCCAGGAAACGGAGGAGTGCACTAAAGTGGGCTGCCTATCACATAACATTGCCAGGAAACGGAGGAGTGCACTAAAGTGGGCTGCCTATCACATAACATTGCCAGGAAACGGAGGAGTGCACTAAAGTGGGCTGCCTATCACATAGCATTGCCAGGAAACGGAGGAGTGCACTAAAGTGGGCTGCCTATCACATAGCATTGCCAGGAAACGGAGGAGTGCACTAAAGTGGGCTGCCTGTCACATAACATTGCCAGGAAACTGAGGAATGCACTAAAGTGGCTGCCTGTAAGATAGCATTGCCAGGAAACGGAGGAGTGCACTAAAGTGGGCTGCCTATCACATAACATTGCCAGGAAACGGAGGAGTGCACTAAAGTGGGCTGCCTATCACATAACATTGCCAGGAAACTGAGGAATGCACTAAAGTGGGCTGCCTATCACATAGCATTGCCAGGAAACGGAGGAGTGCACTAAAGTGGGCTGCCTATCACATAGCATTGCCAGGAAACAGAGGAGTGCACTAAAGTGGGCTGCCTATCACATAACATTGCCAGGAAACTGAGGAGTGCACTAAAGTGGGCTGCCTATCACATAGCATTGCCAGGAAACGGAGGAGTGCACTAAAGTGGGCTGCCTATCACATAACATTGCCAGGAAACCGAGGAGTGCACTAAAGTGGGCTGCCTGTCACATAACATTGCCAGGAAACTGAGGAATGCACTAAAGTGGCTGCCTGTAAGATAGCATTGCCAGGAAATGGAGGAGTGCACTAAAGTGGGCTGCCTGTCACATAACATTGCCAGGAAACGGAGGAGTGCACTAAAGTGGGCTGCCTGTCACATAACATTGCCAGGAAACCGAGGAATGCACTAAAGTGGGCTGCCTGTCACATAACATTGCCAGGAAACGGAGGAGTGCACTAAAGTGGGCTGCCTGTCACATAACATTGCCAGGAAACGGAGGAGTGCACTAAAGTGGGCTGCCTGTCACATAACATTGCCAGGAAAGGGGGGAGTGCACTAAAGTGGCTGCCTGTCACATAACATTGCCAGGAAACAGAAGAACCCTGTGAAATAAAACCATATCCGTTAATATGTTACCTATATTGTCTTTGTCAAAGGGTTACTAAAATACCTGCTTGCTTGAACGGCTGTGCATGCAAATGCAGCATTGGTGACAAACCACAGACTCCCCTACATAAAAGCTATAGGGCCCGTAAGTAGGTCACGGCACTTCGCGAGAGATTACGTAGTTTAGAACTTCCGGTGACAAACAACGTTTTTCGGCAATGGCGATAACACTGTTACATGGGGTATGTCGTGGATAATCATACTCGACACTCGCTGTGTGAATCAGAAACCTATGCCATGTATGCCACTATGGACTGCTAAAGCACTATGACAATGCTGCATGAATAGCACGTGAATATTTGCCAAACAGATGCAGAGTTGTCACAGCGTCGTCTTCAGGCTGGCCCATTCATTAGTCGAGGTAAGTTTGTTACATGGATTTCTTTGTTTTCATTTAAAGGCTGGTATTGTTTAAGCATGGCACGCACAGTAAGGGTGGAATTGACATGTGTGCAGATTGGTGAATCGTTTGATTGCCTTTGATATCTTACAGTGGGATTTTATTGTCCCCCAGAGAGGGGACCTAATAAAATATGGCAGGCAGGTATCCGGTATAATGCATGTGTACCAAAAAACTGTGTTAACATATAAAGTATCTTGCAGTTGGAATTATCCAGAAGATAACTTAATGGGCAATGAAAATCCAGGTGTAATTCTAAAAAAATAAATGCAGTGAATTAAATAATAATTTAATAGCGCGTAAACAATTATGATTATATCCACACTTTGATTGATACCAATAGCTCTGAATAGGTGTCTCTCACAAATGTATTCTGTAATATGAGCTTGATTAATATATTATTACAACCCCATTAAGCATTTGGTTATGGTGCAGCATGTTCAGTTAAACATAACGTCCACATGCTTAATTTAGCAATAATATCTTGATGTCAACATTGTAAGGAACTGTTTACATTTTATTAAGTATATCATACTTGGTCTCACGTGTGTTATGTATTTTTTTCAGTTGGAACAGATGCACATCTTTAAGAGGAGAAAGAAGGAGGAAAAGATTTCTTTATCACCACAATTACCATTGACATCAAGAGCAACACAAACTGAAACAGATCTTCAGATTTCTTTTAACATCTGGTGGTCAAGCAATATACATTGCAAATGAAGAAACAGCAAGTCATTGAAGTGTTGTATATACAGTTATAAAACATATTAAAGCCCTACACATAATCCTTTGGACACTTGCTGGAACAGGAAATGCTTGTAACCAGCAAGGTGTTGTGGAAAGTCTTGTGACATCTTGGGACTCTCAGATAATTCAGTGAGAATTTAGATGAGTGATCATGAAAGAACATTTGTATTCCAGTTCATACTGTTACAGTATTTTTCCAGGTTTGGCATCTGAGAAATCCAAAGAATATTTGATATGTTATGAGTAATTATGCCTTTGGAATAAAATTGCAGAATAGTTCTAAAACTTGTTTATTGTTTTTTAAGTGTGGATAAAGCAAACACAAATTGAATGGTTTGGAAGATTTCTGCTTTTAGCCATGATATTGATTTGACAGAAAATATACAACGATGGATGTAGGAGATTAGATTTTCAGTGTATATAGCAAAGGTTTCCAAGTGAGAGAGTTGGGTTTTAGCAATATTCCAGCAACATCATGCTGGGGAGAGCAGCAATGGGCTTCACATGTTGCACACATGTGGGGAATCAAACCCGGGCCTTCAGTGTGACAAGTGGCAACAGTTTAACCACTAGGTTACCCTACTACTCCAGTTTCGATGAAAAAACATGCTTACCAATGAAAAGTTAAACTTAATCAATGGCATAGGCATGTGATTCTACAGGACATGGAATTTTGTTGAAATATGAAATTCTTTGTTATTATTTGCTGTAAGATTACAACACTCGTTCATAGCACAATAACCAGTACACATCATTCTTTTCCATTATTTTAAAACATGTTGGTCTAACTGTATAGTTGAAAATATGGAATGCCAGTTACCAACCTTGGCCTCATTGGCAGAATATTTGGAATATATAAGTTACTAAAAATGGGTGAAAAACACTATATTTCATGACAAGTAATCATACTCATGCTGCTATCAGCCAGTGTCTGCAGAATCTACAGTCAATGCACATTTAGTTTCCCCATGTATTGATCAGTATATTTTACAATACAGGAAATGTCTTTGAGTGATTACTCCATATTTTGAGTGTACTTGGTCTTGCATTTTTGTCAATTGTGACTTGAAGGTGCTGTGTGCTGCTTCATATTTTGCTTACAGCATAGCAGAACCTCACCCCTGCATAACCAAGAACTAAGTAAGACTCATGTACTTTAGATCATAGTACATAGTTCACTCACTCCAAGACATCTAGTACAAAGTATAATAAATATTGTCCAACAACCAGTTTTTATATATCACCTCTAAAATAATGTTTACATAATTTGATAAATAATTGTTTCATGATGAATATTCATATGGCTGAGGGTTTTCACATTTTGTTTTGAATATCTGACAGTAGTAACCGATATAATTGTAACCATGCCAGCAAGGTTATTTTGTCGAGCTGTTGATTGATTTGTGACACTATGACTTCTTGTGTGAATAAAAACGTCACCATAAATGGGAAAGTTCATATATTTATAAAAGAAATTATAATGTTACAAGACCTGCTATTTATTCCAGGCATTGGGAAAGACAGGGGTTATTTTGCACATTAGAACAAAAATGCCCCATTGACATTTTGAAGTTTACTATTGATACAAGGGCAGTGGCCCATTCTAAATTCAGAAAATGGCTAATAATCCTGAAATTGTCGAAGGTCTCCATCCCAATCCCTGTATTCAATATATCATTATCAGTAGATTTACAGCATGGCAAAGAAACAATTTGACACATGCAGATCCCTGTCATCTATCCAAAGTAAAATTTATAAAGTATTTTCTTTCACATTTGCAAAACAACAAACAATTTATTTCTTGTATCTTTGAGTCATTCTGTCACCTGAACTTGCATACAGTCATCCCTTGGACTTGGAAGAGAGTAAAATTATTAAGCCTACCAACTAGTTTACATAGTGCTTACATTAGTACCTCAAGTATCTATACACATGCATTTTACATTGCATAAAGCCAATTATCTCTATTGAATATTTTGTAACTATTCCAAATTAAAAACTATTTTTTACATATCAATATTGATATTTGTTAGGAACTATTTGACAAATATAAATATATTGAATATGTAAAAAATAGTTTTTGATTTGGAATAGTTACAAAATATTGCTGCAGCATAGCAAATGTATTTAGAAAATAAATAACAAATTAAACAAACAAAAATATTCTAATTTGGAATTACATACTTTTATTGAAAAGGGAAATGACAGAGTCAGTGTGGCCAAATATGAATAGAACATCAACTTGATAAAGTTGGCAACACATGGCTGTTTTATGAATAGCAGTATATTAATTAATAGTTTTATTAATTCAATATAAATACAGATTACTCAAATGCATTTTACGTTAACCATGTCATTGATTCACGAAATATATGTTTTGTGACCAGCACTGTCCGGGATACTGAACACGTTTAGTGATAGAACTGCACTGGTTGTCAAAAATATATTATAGCTAAAGAAAGGTACTCATATGGTTTCGAATTGACTCATGGTTGTCGGTTGTCAGTAAGGAACCGATAATCCTTGAAGGAATAATAATTTTTCGATCTTATCGTCCCCAAATGATCCAATTATTACGACTGTCACCAGCTGTGACAGCCAAGCATGGTAGTACACTTGGTCCGGTCTAGTAAGGTCATATTAGGCGGTCGCGCAATTTGGCACCACAACTGGTTCTTGCGTATTCGCTTGTCACCGGAAATCTAGTAGCGGAAGTAGCGCCTCGCAAGACTTACGGGCCCTATAGTCCTATAGATAACAGTGAAACATTCGTAAGAATACTGTTCAATTTTCTTATCCACTTTCAGTAGTATACACCTTCACTTACTTATATTGAAAAACTGTCACCTCTAATATTGTCAAATGGGTCACATTTCATATTGTTATCTTAGACCCATCCCTTTGAGCTACCATGGTAACAGGTGTTATGGGCTCACCTTGCCAGATGTCTTGATTCCCTTGGCGAGACAGATGGCGACAAGCACCCAGGCCAGCAAGAGACATAGAGCCAGCTGCCATCTCACCATGCCCATCTCGTGCACACCCTCACTGATGTCAAGAACCTCGTTACTGAAACACAAACACCCAGGTACCCATTGTCTGATGTCATTTCACCATGCCCATCTCGTGCACACCCTCACTGATGTCAAGAACCTCATTACTGAAACACAACCACCCAGGTACCCCTTGTCTGATGTCATCTCACTAGGCCCATCTCGTGCACACCCTCACTGATGTCAAGAACCTCGTTACTGAAACACAACCACCCAGGTAACCCATTGTCTGATGTCATCTCACTAGGCCCATCTCGTGCACACCCTCACTGATGTCAAGAACCTCGTTACTGAAACACAACCACCCAGGTAACCCATTGTCTGATGTCATCTCACTAGGCCCATCTCGTGCACACCCTCACTGATGTCAAGAACCTCGTTACTGAAACACAACCACCCAGGTAACCCATTGTATGATGTCATCTCACCATGCCCATCTCGTGCACACCCTCAGTGATGTCAAGAACCTCGTTACTGAAACACAAACACCCAGGAACCCCTTGTCTGATGTCATCTCACTAGGCCCATCTCGTGCACACCCTCAGTGATGTCAAGAACCTCGTTACTGAAACACAACCACCCAGGTACCCCTTGTCTGATGTCATCTCACCATGCCCATCTCATGCACACCCTCACTGATGTCAAGAACTGTTACACCCATGTGTGAACCACTGTAATGATACTCACTGAAAGTATTCGTTACTGGGAGACTTGTTGTCTGGCAACTTGGTATGATTGGTGATGTTGATGATAGTATTGTACATTTGTTGGCCAACCCCCTGAACTGTGTAACACGTTGAGTTGTACCAAGTCCCGTTCTGAGCAGTACAGTTGGTGATAAGGTTACGGCTCTCAAAGCACACTGGAAATATAAAAACATACCTCATTTGAACAGTTACAATCAACACATCCTGCTCACTTGACCAGAAACGATCAACACATCCTGCTCACTTGACCAGTAAAAACCATCACATCCTGCTCACTTGACCAGTAACAAACAGCACATCCTGCTCACTTGACCAGTAAAAAACATCACATCCTGCTCACTTGACCAATGACAAACAGCACATCCAGATCACTTGACCAGTAAAAAACATCACATCCTGCTCACTTGACCAGTAACAAACAGCACATCCTGCTCACTTGACCAGTAAAAAACATCACATCCTGCTCACTTGACCAATGACAAACAGCACATCCAGATCACTTGACCAGTAAAAAACATCACATCCTGCTCACTTGACCAGTAACAAACAGCACATCCTGCTCACTTGACCAGAAACGATCAACACATCCTGCTCACTTGACCAGTAAAAAACAGCACATCCTGCTCACTTGACCAGTAACAAACAGCACATCCTGCTCACTTGACCAAAAACAATCAACACATCCTACTCACTTGACCAGTAACAAACAGCACATCCTGCTCACTCCGCCAGTAACAAACAGTGCATCCTGATCACTTGGCCAGTAACAAACAGCACATCCTGCTCACTTGACCAATGACAAACAGCACATCCTGATCACTTGGCCAGTAACAAACAGCACATCCTGCTCACTTGACCAAAAACAAACAGCACATCCTGCTCACTTGACCAAAAACAATCAACACATCCTACTCACTTGACCAGTAACAAACAGCACATCCTGCCTACTTGAACAGTAACAAACAGCACATCCTGCTCACTTGGCCAGTAACAATCAGCGTATCCTGCTCACTTGACCAGTGACAAACAGCACATCCTGCTCACTTGGCCAGTAACAATCAGCGTATCCTGCTCACTTGACCAGTGACAAACAGCACATCCTGCTCACTTGGCCAGTACCAAACAGCACATCCTGCTCACTTGACCAGAAACAAACAGCACACCCTGCTCACTTGGCCAGTAACAAACAGCACATCCTGCTCACTTGACCAGTGACAAACAGCACATCCTGCTCACTTGACCAGAAACAAACAGCACATCCTGCTCACTTGACCAGAAACAAACAGCACATCCTGCTCACTTGGCCAGTAACAAACAGCGCATCCTGCTCACTTGACCAGTGACAAACAGCACATCCTGCTCACTTGACCAGAAACAAACAGCACATCCTGCTCACTTGGCCAGTAACAAACAGCACATCCTGCTCACTTGGCCAGTAACAAACAGCGCATCCTGCTCACTTGACCAGAAACAAACAGCACATCCTGCTCACTTGGCCAGTAACAAACAGCGCATCCTGCTCACTTGACCAGTGACAAACAGCACATCCTGCTCACTTGACCAGAAACAAACAGCACATCCTGCTCACTTGACCAGAAACAAACAGCACATCCTGCTCACTTGAACAGTAACAAACAGCACATCCTGCTCACTTGACCAGTAACAAACAGCGCATCCTGCTCACTTGACCAGTGACAAACAGCACATCCTGCTCACTTGACCAGAAAGAAACAGCACATCCTGCTCACTTGAGCAGTAAAAAACAGCATATCCTGCTCACTTGACAAGAACCAAACACAACATACTAAACTGTGGAGCACCATTCTGTGTTGCTTGCAGTGTATGAATTAAGTCACTGGCCAGGAGGGCTAGATAAGTGAACATGTTGCTACAATGCTAGCCCACATCATTCTTCACAAGCCCTGCAAACTATCAATATCAAAATGCACATTGGTCAGAACTGGTGTGATGTTTGGTAACTGAAGCTGGTAAGTTATTGTCGCCCCTTGGAAACAAGATAAATCAAACAAACACAAAAACTAAGGTTTTCACGAAACTTTTGCAGACAGACTTTTAACACCTTAATAACTGACTTCATCATATTCATGTGCATTAAATAAAGGACAAATTATTTGAGATTTTCAGCAAGCCAGTCGGGATAGCTTTAACAATATATTACTGGCACGGTTCACAATGAGCTAGCATTTGGCTAGCGGGCCAGTAGCTATTTCGAACGCTGGTTGCTTGTAGTAGGATGTGTTTGGGCATTTCTACTTCATTTCAGTGTATGCATTTGTCATGTTAGTTTTGTATATTTTGTTATGAGGATGTGTTTGTGTTAATTATGCCACATTAATTAACTGTATCATTGCCACTATATTTGACATGTACATTCAGACAGGAGGAATGGAGATATTGAGATACTGTTATGAGGATGTATTTGTTATATAAAATGTCACATTGATTGACTTTGGGTTGTTATGGGTCAACAGATTAAAGCACTGAGTGTGGACGAGAACTCACACCTTAAACTTAGGCTATGTATTTTCACCTGTTAACAGTGGACCAGTTACCGCCCCATTGTTTTGCTTCCAGTTGGACTGAGGAAGCTGTGAGTAATGTCTAGATGGACGTAGTGTGGCATGGTTTTTGTTAGAATTCACTGAAACTATATATAATAGGTATATAAGGGATGGTTGCTGAGATGTATGGGCCTACTACTTCGGATTTACGCTCATCTTTCTGCTAACATCAACATTTCAAGACCAACCGTTTCGACTGGCCTCGTCTACATTGAACTTTCAACAACTGTCAACAATCTTCAGTCAGTACATATGCTTTTACTGGGTATATCAATACTTTGGTGAGTTAATATTTAGATTTGTGATCCAATAGTATTGTATTAGAAATCTGTACTGTCATTCAATGTAATCTTGTTTATTCAATATACAATTGAACATTAATGACTCATCCATGTTTTATTTTGCTGGTTTAAAGGGGACTCACAAGCCTTTTAAGTAATTTCTAAACCGTAACAATTTTACGTAGGTGGGTATTTACTATTGTCACAATTTGTGTGATCTGTTTGTAATTTGGCTATCACTCTTTCAATATTTTTAGATTAATGTCTTTTTTAATGTTTTTAGTTTAGAATTTCAATTTCGGTAAATACTTTCCTACTTTTGGAAGATGTTTTGCTTTTATTGTCGCCAAACATACCGACACGTGCAGGTATCCATATGAACTCTATGCTACTGCCTAAGGCGTGTAGATACTGAGTGCTTTTTAGCATCTCATTGTTTAGTTTAAGTTGTGGGGTTTTTTTTGTGCCATTGTTTATATTCCTTGGAGTGAGTCTGTTAGAATAAAAATTTAATTGTGTTGTTTGATGAGCTGGTCCTATTGATTGGTTGTCTAGGAGTCTGCCTCGAGGGTTGTGATGTGCATGTGCGGTTACCAGTATCGATAAATAATGAAAACAACTGGAAGGAGCCAACTGTTCATGAGGTGGAACAAAATATACATGACTCATTAAGAGGAACACTTTTTTCGGATAGACAACTTCTTTATTGCAACAGATGGGACATTTGGGTGTAGATCCTAACACCGTTATCAAGCAAATGATACACAACACTAGTAAGGCCACTATACAAGGGGATCATGGGGGCATATATCAACTCACTCAGCTACCTCCAATCACCACAGTAGCTCAAGCTGAGTTAGGCCCCCTACAAGGGAATCATGGGGGCATATATCAACTCACTCAGCTACCTCCAATCACCACAGTAGCTCAACCTGAGTTAGGCCACTATACAAGGGAATCATGGGGGCATATATCAACTCACTCAGCTACCTCTAATCACCACAGTAGCTCAACCTGAGTTAGGCCACTATACAAGGGAATCATGGGGGCACATATCAACTCACATGGTGAGCTCCAATCACCACAGTAGCTCCAGGGCAGCTGAGCAGCGAAGGAAGCAAACAGGTAGTACAGCGTCCATGCGATGATCATGTTGTAATACATGGCGATCAGAACTGACACTATGAACATCGCCCAGCCTACACCTGGAAAAAGAATATAAAAACAGTTTAGCTTAGCACAACAAATATGGATCAACGGACCCTGTCCAGTATCCAACATCTTACATTTTGTGATGATTGTCTTGAGATCGGGGCCTGAGAACTATTTACACTGAGTTCATACAGTAACTGCTACTCTGTTGTTATTGTTGTTGCTGTTGTTATTGTTGTTGTTGCTGTTGTTATTGTTGTTGCTGTTGTTATTGTTGTTGCTGTTGTTATTGTTGTTGTTGTTGCTGTTGTTATTGTTGTTGCTGTTGTTATTGTTGTTGCTGTTGTTATTGCTTCACAGGCCAGAAAAGATATGAAAAGATTACAGGCCACAAAATCCAGCCAAGTCTGTTACTATATATAGTAGAGATTGAATGGACACTCAAAACAACAAGTACTCTGAGAACAGAAAGTGGTCAAATGAACCACATGTTATATTTGGGATTGCACTTTCTCAGTAAAGTACAGATTCCAGTACTTTTGATGGGTTGAGTCTCAGCCGCATTGGCTGAGTGGGTTAGATGGCTGACTTTGTGTGCTGTCAATTAGGTGCCTGACTCTGAGAGTGAGGGTGCGAATCCCGAATGGGACTCAGCCGAACAAAAGAACTAGAATCTGTACTTTACTGTGAAAGCGTAATTAGGGGATAATTGTGCTGTGTTTAATGAATTGGGGACGTATACCGTTGGTTATATAGCCGCAAATTTAGTTAGATCTGCAACACGTAGGCGGAGCCAATATAACGTTAAATTTGCGGCTATATAACCACTGGTATATGTCCCGAATTCGTCAAACACAGTACAGTTATCCCCATACTAATTCAACTCGTTTTACGCTGTTTTTACGCTAAAGAAATTCATTATTCAAATGAGGTCAAAGTTCCTCTAGGTCAAAGGTTAATCATATCACTCCTTGAACTTACGCCAGAAAAAGTAGTTCCATTTTCAAACTTCGACACGTTTATTAGGTGCACCCTGACTAAATTTGATAAGAATGAATAAATCAAAGTGTTATAAATGGACGGAATTATCATGAAACCGTCCTCTAGTTATCAGAAATGAGCTGCCCGCTGATTCCTCAACAAAGGGCCATTATCAGTTCTGTTGTCAAATGACGTCTCAGCAGGTGACTTCACACTCCATAATTGTTTCATGATCTAACGGTGTTGGGTCAACAGCCCGTTTCGAGTAAGTTGTTTGAACTTACAATTGCATTTATGATACTGTTTTGTCTTTTTTTACACAAATTCAATCCATTTAAGCGGAATTGGGGGCTTAATTGACCTGGGGCTTCTGCAAATGACAATGCCCTAAAAAACAGCGTTACCACAATAGTGTAGGGATACATTGAAAGATTTATGTGAATCGGTTTCCAAATTGCGACTGTATATGCTGATTATACGGTCAGAAATTTATAGCACTGACCAATCAGAACTCGTGTTACATACTAAGTTGAATTAGAATTCCAAATATAACATTTGTGGTACAGCAAGTACTTTACTGTCCTGCAGACTCCGTCCCAGAACACTAGAGGCACTGTCACTGTCCTGCAGACTTCGTCCCAGAACACTAGAGGCACTGTCACTGTCCTGTAAGGTACTACCACATGGACAAACACCTGTGCTTCCACACCATTAACACCTATGTTTCCACATCGATAAACACCTATGTTTCCACATCAATAACACCTATGTTTCCACATCATTAACACCTATGTTTCCACATCGATAAACACCTATGTTTCCACATCAATAACACCTATGTTTCCACATCATTAACACCTATGTTTCCACATCATTAACACCTATGTTTCCACATCATTAACACCTATGTTTCCACACCATTAACACCTATGTTTCCACACCTATGTTTCCACATCATTAACACCTATGTTTCCACATCATTAACACCTATGTTTCCACATCATTAACACCTATGTTTCCACATCGATAACACCTATGTTTCCACATCGATAAACACCTATGTTTCCACATCAATAACACCTATGTTTCCACATCATTAACACCTATGTTTCCACATCAATAACACCTATGTTTCCACATCATTAACACCTATGTTTCCACATCATTAACACCTATGTTTCCACATCAATAACACCTATGTTTCCACATCATTAACACCTATGTTTCCACATCATTAACACCTATGTTTCCACATCGATAAACACCTATGTTTCCACATCATCTATGTTTCCACATAACACCTAACATCATTAACACCTATGTTTCCACATCATTAACACCTATGTTTCCACATTGTTAACACCTATGTTTCCACACCATTAACACCTATGTTTCCACACCTATGTTTCCACATCATTAACACCTATGTTTCCACATCATTAACACCTATGTTTCCACATCATTAACACCTATGTTTCCACATCAATAACACCTATGTTTCCACATCGATAAACACCTATGTTTCCACATCATTAACACCTATGTTTCCACATCATTAACACCTATGTTTCCACATCATTAACACCTATGTTTCCACATTGTTAACACCTATGTTTCCACATCATTAACACCTATGTTTCCACATCATTAACACCTATGTTTCCACATCATTAACACCTATGTTTCCACATCATTAACACCTATGTTTCCACATCATTAACACCTATGTTTCCACATCATTAACACCTATGTTTCCACATCATTAACACCTATGTTTCATTAACACCTATGTTTCCACATCATTAACACCTATGTTTCCACATCGATAAACACCTATGTTTCCACATCATTAACACCTATGTTTCCACATCATTAACACCTATGTTTCCACATCATTAACACCTATGTTTCCACATCATTAACACCTATGTTTCCACATCATTAACACCTATGTTTCCACATCATTAACACCTATGTTTCCACGTCACTAATACATATGTTTTGGTGTACTGCCTATAAAGGAAGACCTACTTCCGGTGACAGATGATTGGTTGACTACAACAGATCATCCAATGGAAGAACAGAACTATCTAAGTGTGGAGACAGAAGATTGGTTGACTATGACAGATTGCCCAAAGGAAGTACAGAACTATCTTAGTGTGGAGACAGATGATTGGTTGACTATGATAGATTGCCCAAAGGAAGTACAGAACTATCTTAGTGTGGAGACATATGATTGGTTGACTATGACAGATTGCCCAAAGGAAGTACAGAACTATCTTAGTGTGGAGACAGATGATTGGTTGACTATGATAGATTGCCCAAAGGAAGTACAGAACTATCTAAGTGTGGAGACATATGATTGGTTGACTATGACAGATTGCCCAAAGGAAGTACAGAACTATCTTAGTGTGGAGACAGATGATTGGTTGACTATGATAGATTGCGCAAAGGAAGTACAGAACTATCTTAGTGTGGAGACATATGATTGGTTGACTATGACAGATTGCCCAAAGGAAGTACAGAACTATCTTAGTGTGGAGACAGATGATTGGTTGACTATGATAGATTGCCCAAAGGAAGTACAGAACTATCTAAGTGTGGAGACATATGATTGGTTGACTATGACAGATTGCCCAAAGGAAGTACAGAACTATCTTAGTGTGGAGACAGATGATTGGTTGACTATGATAGATTGGCCAAAGGAAGTACTGAACTATCTTAGTGTGGAGACAGATGATTGGTTGACTATGATAGATTGGCCAAAGGAAGTACTGAACTATCTTAGTGTGGAGACAGATGATTGGTTGACTATGATAGATTGCCCAAAGGAAGTACAGAACTATCTTAGTGTGGAGACAGATGATTGGTTGACTATGATAGATTGGCCAAAGGAAGTACTGAACTATCTTAGTGTGGAGACAGATGATTGGTTGACTATGATAGATTGGCCAAAGGAAGTACTGAGCTATCTTAGTGTGGAGACAGATGATTGGTTGACTATGATAGATTGCCAAAAGGAAGTACTGAACTATCTTAGTGTGGAGACAGATGATTGGTTGACTATGATAGATTGCCAAAAGGAAGTACAGAACTATCTTAGTGTAGAGACAGATGATTGGTTGACTACAATAGAGTGCCCAAAGGAAGTACAGAACTATCTTAGTGTGGAGACAGATGAATGGTTGACTATGATAGATTGCCCAAAGGAACTACAGAACTATCTAAGTGTGGAGACATATGATTGGTTGACTATGACAGATTGCCCAAAGGAAGTACAGAACTATCTTAGTGTAGAGACAGATGATTGGTTGACTACAATAGATTGCCCAAAGGAAGTACAGAACTATCTTAGTGTGGAGACAGATGATTGGTTGACTATGACAGATTGCCCAAAGGAACTACAGAACTATCTAAGTGTGGAGACATATGATTGGTTGACTATGACAGATTGCCCAAAGGAAGTACAGAACTATCTTAGTGTGGAGACAGATGATTGGTTGACTATGATAGATTGGCCAAAGGAAGTACTGAACTATCTTAGTGTGGAGACAGATGATTGGTTGACTATGATAGATTGGCCAAAGGAAGTACTGAGCTATCTTAGTGTGGAGACAGATGATTGGTTGACTATGACAGATTGCCAAAAGGAAGTACAGAACTATCTTAGTGTAGAGACAGATGATTGGTTGACTACAATAGATTGCCCAAAGGAAGTACAGAACTATCTTAGTGTGGAGACAGATGAATGGTTGACTATGATAGAATGCCCAAAGGAAGTACAGAACTATCTTAGTGTGGAGACAGATGATTGGTTGACTATGACAGATTGCCCAAAGGAACTACAGAACTATCTAAGTGTGGAGACATATGATTGGTTGACTACAATAGATTGCCCAAAGGAAGTACAGAACTATCTTAGTGTAGAGACAGATGATTGGTTGACTACAATAGATTGCCCAAAGGAAGTACAGAACTATCTTAGTGTGGAGACATATGATTGGTTGACTACAATAGATTGCCCAATGGAAGTACAGAACTATCTTAGTGAAGAGACAGATGATTGGTTGACTACAATAGATTGCCCAAAGGAAGTACAGAACTATCTTAGTGTAGAGACAGATGATTGGTTGACTACAATAGATTGCCCAATGGAAGTACAGAACTATCTTAGTGAAGAGACAGATGATTGGTTGACTACAATAGATTGCCCAATGGAAGTACAGAACTATCTTAGTGAAGAGACAGATGATTGGTTGACTACAATAGATTGCCCAATGGAAGTACATAACTATCTTAGTGTGGAGACATATGATTGGTTGACTACAATAGATTGCCCAATGGAAGTACAGAACTACCTCTGTGCGGAGACAGATGATTGGTTGACTATGACAGATTGCCCAAAGGAACTACAGAACTATCTTAGTGTGGAGATTGATTGATTGACTATGACAGATTGCCCAAAGGAAGTACTGAGCTATCTTAGTGTGGAGACAGATGATTGGTTGACTATGACAGATTGCCAAAAGGAAGTACAGAACTATCTTAGTGTGGAGATTGATTGATTGACTATGACAGATTGCCCAAAGGAAGTACTGAGCTATCTTAGTGTGGAGACAGATGATTGGTTGACTATGACAGATTGCCCAAAGGAAGTACTGAGCTATCTTAGTGTGGAGACAGATGATTGGTTGACTATGATAGATTGCCCAAAGGAAGTACTGAGCTATCTTAGTGTGGAGACAGATGATTGGTTGACTATGACAGATTGCCAAAAGGAAGTACAAAACTATCTTAGTGTGGAGATTGATAGGTTGACTACAATAGATTGCCCAAAGGAAGTACTGAGCTATCTTAGTGTAGAGACAGAAGATTGGTTGACTATGACAGATTGCCCAAAGGAAGTACAGAACTATCTTAGTGTGGAGACAGATGATTGGCTGAATATGACAGATTGCCCAAAGGAAGTACTGAGCTATCTTAGTGTGGAGACAGATGATTGGTTGACTATGATAGATTGCCCAAAGGAAGTACTGAGCTATCTTAGTGTGGAGACAGATGATTGGTTGACTATGACAGATTGCCAAAAGGAAGTACAAAACTATCTTAGTGTGGAGATTGATAGGTTGACTACAATAGATTGCCCAAAGGAAGTACTGAGCTATCTTAGTGTAGAGACAGAAGATTGGTTGACTATGACAGATTGCCCAAAGGAAGTACAGAACTATCTTAGTGTGGAGACAGATGATTGGTTGACTATGATAGAATGCCCAAAGGAAGTACATAATTATCTTAGTGTGGAGACAGATGATTGGTTGACTACAATAGATTGCCCAATGGAAGTACAGAATCACTCTCTGTGCGGAGACAGATGATTGGTTGAGTATGATAGATTGGCCAATGGAAGTACAGAACTATCTTAGTGTAGAGACAGATGATTGGTTGACTATGATAGAATGCCCAAAGGAAGTACAGAACTATCTTAGTGTGGAGACAGATGATTGGTTGACTATGACAGATTGCCCAAAGGAACTACAGAACTATCTTAGTGTGGAGATTTATTGATTGACTATGACAGATTGCCCAAAGGAAGTACAGAACTATCTTAGTGTAGAGACAGATGATTGGTTGACTACAATAGATTGCCCAATGGAAGTACAGAACTACCTCTGTGCGGAGACAGATGATTGTTTGAGTATGAAAGATTGCCCAATGGAAGTACAGAACTATCTTAGTGTAGAGACAGATGATTGGTTGACTACGACAGATTGCCCAATGGAAGTACAATACTATCTTAGTGTGGAGAGAGATGATTGGTAGACTATGACAGATCGCCCAATGGAAGTACAGAACTATCTTAGTGTGGAGACAGATGATTGGTTGACTACAACAGATTGCCCAATGGAAGTACTGAGCTATCTTAGTGTAGAGACAGAAGATTGGTTGACTATGACAGATTGCCCAAAGGAAGTACAGAACTATCTTAGTGTGGAGACAGATGATTGGCTGAATATGACAGATTGCCCAAAGGAAGTACTGAGCTATCTTAGTGTGTAGACAGATGATTGGTTGACTATGATAGATTGCCCAAAGGAAGTACTGAGCTATCTTAGTGTGGAGACAGATGATTGGTTGACTATGACAGATTGCCAAAAGGAAGTACAAAACTATCTTAGTGTGGAGATTGATAGGTTGACTACAATAGATTGCCCAAAGGAAGTACTGAGCTATCTTAGTGTAGAGACAGAAGATTGGTTGACTATGACAGATTGCCCAAAGGAAGTACAGAACTATCTTAGTGTGGAGACAGATGATTGGTTGACTATGATAGAATGCCCAAAGGAAGTACATAATTATCTTAGTGTGGAGACAGATGATTGGTTGACTACAATAGATTGCCCAATGGAAGTACAGAATCACTCTGTGCGGAGACAGATGATTGGTTGAGTATGATAGATTGGCCAATGGAAGTACAGAACTATCTTAGTGTAGAGACAGATGATTGGTTGACTATGATAGAATGCCCAAAGGAAGTACAGAACTATCTTAGTGTGGAGACAGATGATTGGTTGACTATGACAGATTGCCCAAAGGAACTACAGAACTATCTTAGTGTGGAGATTTATTGATTGACTATGACAGATTGCCCAAAGGAAGTACAGAACTATCTTAGTGTAGAGACAGATGATTGGTTGACTACAATAGATTGCCCAATGGAAGTACAGAACTACCTCTGTGCGGAGACAGATGATTGTTTGAGTATGAAAGATTGCCCAATGGAAGTACAGAACTATCTTAGTGTAGAGACAGATGATTGGTTGACTACGACAGATTGCCCAATGGAAGTACAATACTATCTTAGTGTGGAGAGAGATGATTGGTAGACTATGACAGATCGCCCAATGGAAGTACAGAACTATCTTAGTGTGGAGACAGATGATTGGTTGACTACAACAGATTGCCCAATGGAAGTACAATACTATCTTAGTGTGGAGAGAGATGATTGGTAGACTATGACAGATCGCCCAATGGAAGTACAGATCTGGCCTTACCTTGGAATATTGGGGAGACCTTCCAGATGGACACCACCCCCTCACTGGCGAACTGGCCGAAGGACAGTTCCAGGAAGACAAGGGGGATCCCAGTGATGAACAGCATGATGATGAAGGGGATCAGGAACGCTCCTGAAACAGGATGTCATGGTTACAGTTGGCCAGCAACACTAATCTGCAAATAGAGTCTATTTCCTTTGTTTCTTGTTTAGCCTGACATTCACATGAAGGCTGTGTAACAGCCAGTCACTGATTCTGGTTGATTCTGGTTGATGCTAGCAATTTTAGCCCTTAGCACAAATGTTTAGACAAGCAAAGGTTCCCAGGGCCCTTTTCCACAAACATAGGTTCCCAGGGCCCTTTTCCACAAACATAGGTTGCTAGGGGCCTTTTCCAACCCAACCACCCCATGAAAAGACAAACATAGGTTGCTATGGGCCTATTCCAACCCAACCATCCCATGCGAAGACAAACATAGGTTGCTATGGGCCTATTCCAACCCAACCATCCCATGCGAAGACAAACATAGGTTGCAATGGGGCCTATTCCAACCCAACCACCCCATGCTGGAAAAGACAAACATAGGTTGCTAGGGGCCTATTTCAACCCAAATACCCCATGCGAAGACAAACATAGGTTGCTAGGGGCCTATTCCATCCCAACCACCCCATGCGAAGACAAACATAGGTTGCTAGGGGCCTTTTCCAACCCAACCACCCCATGCGAAGACAAACATAGGTTGCTAAGGGCCTATTTCAACCCAACCACCCCATGCGAAGACAAAAACAGGTTGCTAGGCACCTATTCCAACCGAACCACCCCATGCAAAGACAAACACAGGTTGCTAGGGGCCTATTGTAGCAGGGTGTGGAGTCATCCCACAGATGACATCCTTACCTTGTCAGCTTGCTGACGGGGTTAACCTCTTTGGTCATGGGGACAAGCATCCGACTTCTGATCAGAAGGTCCGTGGTTCGAATCCCAGCACGGGACTCGGAAATGAGCACGTTCATATGAAATTTGAGCAAAATATGTCTCAGTACCCAACTATGCGGCTTGGGACGTGCCTTCTGTTGACGGGGGAGTATGTAGCAGGGCGTGGAGTCATCCCACAGATGACATCCTTACCTTGTCAGCTTACTGACGGGGTTAACCTCTTTGGTCATGTGGACAAGCGTCCGACTTCGGAATAAAAGGTCCATGGTTCGAATCCCAGCACGGGACTCGGAAATTTTATGGCCGCTACATTGGCGCCCAACAGGGATTATGCATATTTATATAAATCACACAATGAAGTAAACCTTTCCTTGTAGATATGTGTATTGTACAAGTTAATTGTTGTGTCTGAACTATTCTCAGTCACATGACATATGTATATATTTTCATGTGTTATCATGTGTTTCATGTGTTGCTTGGCTCAGGTATCACAGTCCTGTAGTATGAGGAGGGTTGACCGCCGGTAACAACACTCCCGTGTCACCCACAGGGTACGCAGGTTATAATCTATTTCGTTATTTATGCATAAGTGATGTATTTGCTTACTGTTGCATATATTGTATTATTGTCTTGTATCATGTACTTGATGACATGATGATATATCATAATTTGCTAAACACATTTGTAAGAAACATATATTTGTATGTGCACTTCTAATGGTATGAGCATATGACGTATGCATTATTACAGATAGTAATCTTCCTGTAAACATATGCTTATTGATGTTATGTAAGATAGTGTGATGTAATAAGTACGCTTGTATTTTAACCCATCAAAGAAATTGTACTTATGATACACTATTGTTACAGAGTGTCTACTGATATCAACTGATATCCACTGAATCCTCAGAATAAACGAGTTGACCTCACACCCGCAGCCTTTATTCTCACTGACATAGAGGGTAAATCCCAGGCCGCAACACTATTCCCACCCAACCACCCCATGCAAAGACAAACATAGGTTGCTAGGAGCCTATTAATAATAATAATAATAAATGCATATTTATAATGCGCCCCTTCCACACCCTAAGGCATGCTCAAAGAGCTACAGAATATTTACACTGGAGTATTTACAGATGAAGTTATACATAATATACTGAGAAAAGGTGGGTTTTAAGTCTGGACTTAAAAATGTCAATTGTGGTAGAGCTTTTAAGGGCACATGGGAGAGAGTTCCAGAGCACAGGCGCGGAGTAAGAGAATGATCGGTGTCCGAATGATTTCAGTTTGTAGGATGGGATGACCAGTCGGTTTTGTGTGTTTGAGCGCAAGTAGGAGTTCAGACAAGTAGGAGGGAGCCAAACCATGGAGGCACTTGTACGTCAGACAGAGGATCTTAAAGTCAATTCTGGCCCTAACTGGTAGCCAATGCAGTTCTTTCAACACTGGTGTTACATGGGAACGTTTAGAAGTCTTGCTGATGATGCGGGCGGAAGTATTTTGGATCTTCTGAAGCTTATCAAGGAGTTTAGAACTGAGGCCCGAAAGGATGCTGTTACAGTAATCAAGCCTAGATGTAACAAGAGCTCGAACAAGGGCTTGAGTTGCAGCAGTTGTCAGGTATTGCCGAATGTTACCAATGGATCTTAGGTGAAAGTAGCAGGTCCTGCTCAGGCGGTTAACATGAGCATCCAGAGTCAAGGAAGAGTCGATGTGGACACCCAAGTCCTTAACCACATCAGAGAATCTGACGTCAGAGTCTGCGACTGTAAGGGTGTCGGTTTTGACCTTGCTGAGTTGTTGCTTTGTACCAATGAGAACTGCTTCTGTTTTTGTGTCATTAAGTTTAAGCATGTTTCCTGTCATCCAGCACTTGATGTCCTGCGTAAATTCAGCGATGCACTGAAGAGACGTAGATAGATCTGACAGATGAAATGCTTTCAGGAGCTGGGTGTCATCAGCGTAGGCATGATGAGAAACTGTGTGGTCTGTAGTTATCCTTCCAACATATCCGGTATACAACACAAACAGGACTGGACCAAGGACTGATCCCTGTGGCACCCCACATGTGATTACAGTGCCTTTTGATCTCTCAGTGCCAACAACAACAGATTGCTGTCGGTCAGACAGATAAGACGTCACCCATTGAAGGGCATGACCTTCAAGTCCGTACTGTTGTGTGAGCCTGGACAAGAGTCTATGGTGATCAATTGTGTCGAAGGCTGCAGAGAGGTCCAACAACACTAGAGCAGCAATCCTACCATCGTCGACAGCACAACGAAGCTCATTTGTCACTTGCAGTAAGGCAGTCTCCGTACTATAGTATTGCCGATACGCTGACTGGAATTCATCAAGCAGAAGATGTTTAGAGAGATGGTCTTTGAGTCTGACATGCACGGCCTTCTCAATTATCTTGGAAATGAAGGATAAATTTGAGACAGGTCGAAAGTTCTGAAGATTCTGAGAGTCAAGATCAGGTTTCTTTAGCAGAGGTTTGACTACAGCATGTTTGAATCTGGATGGAAATACACTACTCTCCAAACTTGAGTTGACAATTTTGGTAATGCTTGGCAACAAGTCAAGATATTGAAACAGAAGTTTAGTTGGTATGGGGTCGGAGTCGCAAGTGGTAGGCTTTGAAGAGCGGATAATTGATTCAATGTCCTTGGGGGTGAAGGGCGCAAACTGTGTTAGTGGATCGCCTGTGAAGAGGGGTTCACTGAAACACCTATCAACTTCCTTGGCTGAAAGTCCTTGTCGAATGGTATCAATCTTTGAAATGAAAAATGAGTTGAAGGAGTCTGCGAGTTCCATGTGACTTTGTCCGGGAGGTACTCTATCACCATCACCTCCTTTACCAAGCAGTTTATTCATAAACCTGTAAAGGGAAGCAGGTTTCCCCATACTATTCTGTATACTGTGAAGACAATATTTCCTTTTAGCGGAGATGATTAAAAAGGTGGTAGCATTTCGGCACTGTTGATATATCTGCCTGTGAATTTCCAGGCGTGTCTTACGCCACTAACGTTCTGCTCTGCGCCGTTGTGTTTAACGAATGGACTCGTCATACCATGGAGCATGAGGACGGAGTATCACATTCTTCTCAACTGCCGGAGCATGTTTGTCTAGAAGAGATGTGAGGGTGTCATGGAAGAGCTCAACATGGTCCTCAACATCAGGGGGAGGATCAGTTAGGAGGTTTGAATTAACCAAGTCAAGTCTGAAACTATCTGGCTGAATCTTCTTGATGTTTCGACACATCAAGATTGAATGCTTGTTGTTTGGCTTAATTAAGTCAATAGCAAAGAAGACATTGAAGTTGTCAGACATATGGCGATCGATGACTTCGACATCTTTGATAATATTGCAGCTGCTGTGTGTGATAATCCAGTCAAGAATGTTGCCAGATTTGTGTGTGGCGACAGACACATGCTGGGTAAGGGAATAAGTATTCAGTAGCTGAATGTATTTCTTGACCTCGGACTTCTCATGAAAGTGTTGAAGTGCACATTAAAGTCGCCAAGAATTACTGTATAGTTTTTGGAGTGTGTTGCGAAGAGGGTAGATAACTTTGGAAGAAAGTCATTGTTTTTCAGTTTGTTTTTCGCAGAGGGTGGAGGTCGGTAAATACACACCAGGCTAAAGGTAGCCTGTCCAGAAGTTATCACAACATTCATTTTCTAAAAGGATTTAGAACTGTTTCCTGAGTCACTACGACGAACAGTGAGGGATTTTCTGTAGAGAATTGCGATTCCACCTCCACTTGCATCGAGTCTAGGGCAGTGGAGGAGAGAATGGGACACTGGTGTCATTTCAGCTATCTTAGCTTCGTCACCCGTGAGCCTTAGCCACATTTCAGTTAAGATATTCAAACCCAAACACCCAATGCGAAGACAAACATGTGTTGTCAAACTTTGGTTTGCCGCGTGAAGGCCGCTTTAGGGTTAGGGTCTGCAGAATAAGCATTTGAGCTGGATCAAATCAGATACCTACCATTCTTACCACTAAACATGCTTGTAACTACAATACTATTTATTTATGTTTCTTTGCCATCTCAAAACAGCAATCTAATTACCAAATTACAACCATTGTCACTGGTTTCTAATTTATGGAAAGCCTTTCAATTCAAATATGTCATTAAAGTCTGTCAATAAAGCATTTTTCTGAAGAGGCATTACTGAGTTTAATTAACTGATT